GGGGGGGGGGGGATGGAGTTCACTTTGGAACAAAGGTTGTCTCTCCCCTGTGCTTGGAGAGCTCCACTGCAGTACTTCCTGCACAGGAGTGAAAACGGCGTCCTTCAGTTACCGTGAGCTACATGAATCTCAGTTGGGCATGGTGGTGCACACCTGCAACTTCAGCACTCTGGAGGCTTGAAAACTAAAGAACTTCAAGTACATGGCCAGCCTGGACTACATATTGAGTTCAAGGCCAGCCTGGGCCACATAGCAAGACCAAAAAGGGGGAGAGTGTCCCCTAAAAGTTATCTTCTTGTAGTTTGAACATGAAATGCACCCTTATAGGCTTGTCTATTTGGAGCTGTCTTGGAAGGGTGTGGAACCTTTAGGAGGTGGAGCCATGCTGGAGGAAGCAAATCAATGGGTGGTGGCCTTGAAGTTTTATAGTTCTGCCCTACTTCCTGTCTGTTCTCTGCTTCCTGATTGAGAATGCCAGGTAACCTAACCAGTTGCTCCTGCCACCATGGAGCTGCATCCCCTTCAACTATAAGCTAAAATAAACTGCTCTTCCCTTAAGTTGCTTCTTGTCAAGTGCTTAGTCACAGCAATGAGAAGAGTAGCAAATACATAACCTTCAGCATCAACCTGCAAGATAGCTACCAATTCAGAGCCCCGCTAGGAGGGGCCCAATTTAACAGCTCCTGATGCAGAGCAGGCCCCTTCACAGTGAAGTGAGTGGGACACACTCAGAGTGAGTGGGACCGACACACAGCTGGTCCCCTGGCTTCAGGAGGCCACATCCTGGCCAACCATTCCTCCCGGCCCACTCAATGACTACAGGCCAGGGCATGACACAGCAAGAGCAGCTGTGGAGAAGCTGGGACCAGCTTCCTTCCTGACTCCTTCCTACCAGAGAGAATGTTATCAACGAGAAGCCAATTTGGGGAACAAGAGGACAAGGGTCTAAAGTTACCTTTAAAAGATACCCACAGTGTTTTTACCACCAGATACAGAAGTTCATTTGCATTGCCTCTAATCCTTTTCCCAGGCAGACTGACACAGCACGAACTGCCATTTAATATACTGAATCACATTCTGTGAAAAGAACTCTCTCCTGCTGTCTTCCCAGGAGTGGCAATTTGAGCCCTCAAGTGAAAATAGTATTGAGTAGAAGGGAATATGTTTACAGATTGATCAAATGAAGACACCTCATTCTATTTTCCCAGTGCATAAAATTCTTCCCCCTTCCTCTGTTTGGGAATGAATTTGTATACTGGACAGAATCACTGAATCCAAGGAAGAACGAGGATCACAAACTTTATGTACATAAACAATTAGACTTATAATCACTTCTGAAACTTCTGTTCATCAAAAATCAAAAGTGCTCTTAGTTTAACACAGAAGATAGGTGATTTGTAACTAGTATAAAAAACTTGAAACTTGTGTTCAACAATTTCTTTTCGTACTGTGGGGAGAGTAATTTATAATTGAGAATAGCAGACACTCTGCTATTTATTTATTCATTTCTATTCTATAAGAAAAGAACCCAGGGCCTTGTGAGTGCTATGCAAGCACTCTACCACTGAGCCATGCCACAGCCCTGCTCCAGGCATCTTCACCTTCATTCCTCTTAGTGGTCAGGCAACCTCCTCCCTCATGTACCACACCCTTTAATGGGCATCTACCACAGATCTATGAATAAAGAGAGCAGAAATGATGCCACAAGACTTTTGTTATGTACAAACAACAAGACATAGGACTCATTACAAAACAGGCATCCTCAGGAAGGAAAGGTTATTTCAACACATCCAGTCTAAACCTGGCCTTCTCCACAACGCACTGGTCAATACTTTGTCTGCCCTTCACTGCTCTCTTAGGGCTAAAGCAGCAGCAATTTGGCACTTCACTGCCACATAATGGCTTCACAACCTGAAACCCATTTCCCCCCATATAGCCCCCATTTCCATCATACATTTTTTTTTTTTGAGTGTGGAAACCATGTCTCAGGCTTGGTAATTCTTTAAAAGAACACTGTGTTGACAGGCAAATCAAGAGACTTCATGGAAATGCTGTGGATTTTCTGCTATAAGAAATATGAATGTGAAAGTCACTGCCTCCAGGAACAGAGAAAAGATGATCCAGAAGTTTAAAAGTACTCTCATAAAATCAGCTAGCAATTTCCACATCTCAACTTCTCCATTCCAAGCATCTCTCACCTTCTTTATTCATTCAACTAGCATTTCCTGCCCTCTATCTATGCACCAGGAGCCATGGATGAAAATTATGAAGTTACAGCATCAGTCCCCAGCCCAAAGGTGCTCACAGCTTACCACAGAAGACAGGTGATGATAAAGAGAGGAAAGGTGGCATTTACATAATGTGACT